TTTGGCAGACCGGCAGATTTTTGCCCGTCTCCAACCGCCCATCGGCCCCCACCCGCCGTGGGGACGGCTGCCGCTGCTACCCCGGAGGCTTTCGCACTGACTGGGGTCCTGCGTTTCCCCCGTCCTTTCCTTTCCCTCTCCTCCTTTTTTTTTTTTTTGTTTTTGTTTTTTTTTGTTTTTGTTTTCCTCTCTCTCGCTCTCGCTCTCTCTCTCTCTCTCTCTCTCTCTCTCTCTCTCTCTCTCTCTCTCTCTCTCTTTCTCTCTCTCCCTCTGCGATGGCGCTGCCGTGGCCGCGTGGGCGCCTAGACTGCCGAGCAGTCGGGCGATGATTTCCGCTGTCTAGTAAAACCAGCTCTAGTGCCCGCCGGCCCCAGGGCGCGCGCGACGGCTCGCCTATTGCAGGTTGGCCTGAACGCTGCTCCTGGCTTTGGCTCGTATCTCTTGTCTCGCTCCCCCTCCTCCGCCCCCTCCTCGCCCCCCCCCCCCTCTCTTCCAGCTGCCCTTTTCGAGCCGCATTGGGGTGGCTCTGGCGCGCCTGCCAGGCCGCTTTTCGCCGCAGAGTGCACGGGGGCCCATGCGAAACACTGGTCTTCTGCGCAGTGGCGGTGGGGGCGCGCGCCCCTAGGGATCCCAGAATGCGCGCCGAAAGTCATCAGGGTGACTTGCAGCACGTTCTGAAATTAATCGTTTCTGAAAAAATCGCAGCAACAGTGCGCTCGGCCAAAAGCATGCACACATTACCCGCGGCACCCGTCGCTGGCGGTTGTGCCCCAGCGTATTATGAGAGCGACGTACCGCCAGGATTTCACCACTACGGATCGGAGGGCGCAGCCCTTAACATCCACGATGCCACTGGATTCACGCACGCGCGCATCATCCATCGTCTCAAATCCTCAAAATATGTTTCAGCAGGCTTCGACGAATACTTATTTAAGTTTGAAGGGCCCGCGGGCTCGCCATCATCGGGCGGCCGCGCTCGGGGCCAGCCGCAACCGATCGGCGACGTCCGACCGTCAGCGAGGACTCTGCGATGGATTTAGAAGCGCGCATCACGGAAACGCGGCGCGTTGAATTTCCGGAAGGCAAGCAACTCATGGAAGCAGCTCAATTTGAATATTGATGCGCGGCGCCCGCTGAGATGCTCGCCGAAAACCGCGTGCGTGACTGTGGCCAGCGAAGAGCAGCAAGGACGCTTGCGTAAAATAGGCTGCGGCCATGACGACGCTGAAGGGACTTGTCTCGCCCCGCGCGCTACTGGGTGCGAAGGGGCCGGTGGTCCAGATTCGGACGAGCGCTGTCAGCGCGTGGACCTCTGCTTTGCTGCCGACATGTCTACAGTTGCCCTAACCGAGCAACGGCGCGGACTATTCCAAGACGGCCAGGTGACCGCCGCGCGCGCGTGTGCCAGCCGCGCCCAAAAGAGCCGCCGTCGCGAAGGATGACGACCTCCTCGCGAAGGCAGAAATACAAGCAAATCCGGCCAGGATGTCCAAGTCTTTCCAAGTCCTTGCGCACTGGGTTTAGTTATGCGGCAATGGCTGCTTTAAGATGCAGGAAATTTAAAGCGCCGCGAATCTAATGACATCCAGATTCGCGCGCGCAGCGATGCTCTTGAAGAGCGAAGAGGGCTAGATGGAGCGCATCATCAGACTACGCCCGGTCCCTCGCGGACGCATGGGCGCCGAATCCTGCTGCGCGGGGACTTTTTCGAGCGCGGTCCGACGGGCCCGGCGGGCGCTGTTCGCAAGCGCGGCCGCGCGTGACAAGTCGCGGACCGTCGCGCCCACGGGCGTCGGCGAGGCTCTCCTGAGCGGCCCCGCGCATCGCGAACTGGCCGAGGCCACTGGGGAGAAAGAGCGCGCGGTGCGCTTCGCGCTCCCGCCTGGCTCGGCGTCGGTGCCGCGTGCGTGACCAGGCATTGCGCCTCGCGACGAATCCAGGCGCTGCCTGCAGCGCCTGATGCTGGGCGCGGGCACCAGGGGCGCCGCGGGGGCATTTTCGTTGAAATTCAAGGCCGCCACTAGAGGCTCTGGGCTTATACTTACGTCGTATGACGAGGTATTCGAGACGAGCCCAAACCTCCTGACAGCCAAACGCGTAGACGACATGAACAAGGTAGGAGTCGAGGACACTATTGACAGGCACGTCAAGCGCGTAGAAAGCACGTTCGGCGCACGTAAACTCAACGAACGCAGCAACGCCAAATGCGCCGCGCGCTGCGCCGAGACCGGGGGCGGCCACGTTCAGTTCGACCAGGGCGAATTTGCCAGTGGTCTTCGCCCCGCGCGGCGCCCGGAGCTCGCCGGGGCCGAAGCCGAGCAAAAAAAGGCGACGAAAATTGTTTCAGATACGTTCATCAGCTTACGCGGTGCGTTAGCGCATACCTTGATCACTCAAGCGAGGCCGACGGCACGCGCGGCCCCCCTGCAACGTGCCCAGGAACCGATCGACGTACGAGCGCGACGACTTAATGCCGCAGCGCGCGATTTACAACGGGGCACGCATCAACTCATCGATCAACTCATGACTCCGACTGGAGAAGTGGACCTACATAGCGACTCAGGTCATCGCCGCCTCAACGGCGAAGCCCAGAAGCCCATGGCGAAGAAGCCGAGGGGCGCGGCGTCCGAGGGGCCGACCTCTTACCGCGCGGTCACGCGCTTAACGGCGCCGCGGGTGCGCGCCTGATCGACGCGCGCTGCAAGTCGCGCCGCTGGCAGGCGCGCCCCAGCCGCTCTGCTGAGGCCCGAGCAGCAGCCCGCAACTTGGAAGGCTGCCGCCCTGCCATTGCGACGCGGCGCGAGCTGAAGGCTGGGCCACTTACGCCGACGCAACTCAATGGCATCTTAGAGACAGGTCGCCCAAGCATCCAAGCTACCCTCACCATCGATGCTGAAACGGTATTCTCAAATCCCTCTCGAGCAAGGACCTGAAGAAGCCAACTGGATGCGCCCTGCCGGGGCGCATCTGCTGGATCCGACAGATGATGGATCGAGGTGTCGTTCGCAGCGTGCAGCGGTTAGATGCACGAGATATGACGGCCGACGGTCATGCGGAAGGCTGAATTGATCGTGGATTGCCACTGCAGGTAGTGACAGACGTACAATCATTCAAGTAGGAGGTCAAGCGATACACAGCATATAGAGGGAACAAGGCATCGCCGACTTAGCCCTGACCTATTCTGGGCGGATGCTGCACCTGTATTTGCTCGGCCGCGGACTTGCATTGTCATTGCGCTGTTTGGTGCATGAGGGTATTTCCAGGCATTCTCTTTGATTTTGGCTGTCCTACAGCTCGATGAAGTGGGTCGACTCCCTTTATAGCAGTGGCTGGTCGCGCATATGCTGGTACTGTATCAGTAGTGCCATGGAGCAACTATTGTTTTCCCCTACGCTTGACCTTGCTGCTACATGTAGTTTCACTGAATTTTGACGTGGCTCTGCGCTCGGCCTTTCCCTCCTGACGTCAAAGGCAGATCAAAGGGGGTAAAAGGCGAGCATGGCGAGCACTTCGCCTACGTCCGACGCCGCTTGGCTCACGCGGCGCCGTTCCATTTGATTATCTCGCGCCTGCGAGGTGCAACCGCACCAGAGTAACAGAAAATGGAGACGTCCACATCTTTTGATGGCGCATCCTCATTTACCATGTGTTGCTTCGTGCCTACCATCGTGCTCTTCAGTGTGGGATATGCTATGGGATACCGTGATACGTCTACGACGTCATCCTAAGGGTCTCGGTTCACACCCTCCTGGCCGTCGCTTTTTCTTGGGGGTGGGCGGCGAATGGATTTCATTGGTAACGCGCAGATTTATACATGTTGTTGGTTATATGTTTCTGGGGAGGCGGGGGTAACGCGCATGATAAATTCAGTGGAAGGCCGTCACAAGCGTTGTAAGCCCGCTACACGTGGAATCTCTTGGTCTGGCCGCCACGAATGGAATTTATGCGTGTGGCCGTTATGGGCGTATTCTATGTGAAAGACCGCGAAACACGCATCGATGAGATGGGCCGAAGGGAGAAAGCAGACAAAAGTCAATTGGAGCGTGGAATCAACAAAACCGTTTGGGCGTCTGTAGTGATACCAGCGATAATCCCTGCAACGCCCCTTCCCCAGGGTCGACATCCGGGACTCCGTCCCCTCCCAGCGGCCCGCGGGGGAAGGGGTTTGGGGAGGGGCAACCAACACTCGGCGCATTCCCCTCAGGCTGGCGAGCTTGGGGAGGCGGCCGCAATGGAAGGGAGGGACAGTTTCGAATAAAATAGCCCCCTCCGGGGACCACCCCTCGCGCACGCCGACAGCGGCAGATTCAACACGTGGGGCTCTGAAAGTATCGACCTTGTCTTTCTCGCAGTTCGGCCGTTTTCTGTCCTCTGCGTGCCCTGGGCACCGAACCGAGCCTCCTGAGGCCCACGCTCGGAAAAGCCGGCCGCCGTGATCGTTGGAGACGCCAGAGGTCGTTCTCTTTCGGTTACGAGTCGGGCCACAGGATCGTTCGGGACGATCCTGGCGTCCCCCGAAAGCTCTCGACTTGGCGCAGCTGCTGGAAAGCACCGTGGGTCCCGTCCCGCGAGCCCTCCCGAGACGGGCGATCGGGCGACAGAGCTATACATGCGTTAAGTCGGGCCTGTCCCTCTACAGGGGGAATATTCAACAATAGTAAGAAGGTAGTTCGGAGATGTTTTTTCTACCATTTTTGCACATGTGAGGTGTATGTTTGGACTATGTCTAATTTTTCGTCCAAAATCCGCTTGCAGGGGGACACGTCCGACCTGATACACGCGCGCTGCTCCCAGCTTCTGGGCCTATCCTGGGCCCAGGACCCTGGCCCAGGAGCGGCGTGTGTGCCACCCTGGCCAGGCCGGGACGGCGTACACACTGCCCCTGGGCCTAGGGCGGGCCTGGCCGGGGGCAGCAACCACGCGTAGATCTCGTCGCCCCAAACGAGATCTTGAGGAGGACCTCCGAGGGGGTCTCCGGGGCCCGGGGCCCCCCGCCGCAGGCGCCCAGGGCGCGGAGCTGGGCGCCCGCGCCGGCGACGGGCGTGCCCGACGTGCGGTGCTCCACGTGGGCGGCGCCCGCGCCGGCGCTGCGCAGCGCGGGCGAGGTCCGAGAGCCCGCCGAGGCGGCCGCGGCGGGGGGCCGACTGTCGAGGGGGGGGGGGTGCGCTCGTGGGGGGCGCAGGGGCTTCGGACGTTTCTGTTGTTCCACGGTGTCCGAGCTTCGGGACGTTTTCCAGCAGTTGCGCCTCGCCGAGAGCGTTTCGGGGGGTTCCGATGAGGATCACGATTGCCGAGAGAATAAACGCCCCAAACCATGACCAAGATGTCGCGGGATTTTGTCGACGCTGATCTTGGTCATGGTCCATGCCAGCCGTTGCCGATTCGCGAGGATGGTCCACGAATTGACGACGACCAAAGTGGACGATGACCAAGATCGACACTGACGTGTCTGCATTCAGTCTCGGTCATGGTCACAGCTTTCTTTACCTCCAGATTCGGAGGGGGAGTGCTGCATTCGGTCGGTTCGGTTCGGTCGGTTGATGCACCGCTGCGTCTTTTCAAGTCGCTGTCGGTCTACTGGTTTCGATTTTGCTGACGGCTCGGTTGGCTTTCGATGTTGGTGTCGCTGTGGACGTCGATGGTAGAGTTGGAGGGAGGGTACCTCATCGTCAGAGCTATTCCAAGCCCGACCGAGAACGGGTGAGCTAACTCTGCCAGCGCACCTATCCCCACCCAGGAGGGGTAGGTTGGCTAGCGGGGCCACGGTTTCCACGGATGGCCGCTGGGGATTGAAGAAGGGGCGGGTACGGAGTGACCGCCACGCTTGTTCACCTTTGCCTCCATCGGATAGGGTAGTAGCATTGAGCACGGATCTTGGTTGGGGCCTCCGCTGGATAAAGTAGTTGCAGTGAGCGCGGATCTCGATTGGAACGGGGAGGAGGTAGTGTTTGCGGAAGGGCGAGGGAACGTCCAGGGATGAGGATCTGTAAGCGCTCGGTTCAAGGCGATTTTGGTCAGAAGTGCACCGAGTACAATGGCCAAAGCATGGCTGCAAGCAGGGTCCCTACCCGTTGCGGAAATCTTAGACATGGTCTTGGGGAGTCCTTCCCTCGAGGCGGCAGCATATCATGATTCCGGAGAGGGTCACGGCACGTACATCCTCCAGGTGTTGCACGGCGACTGCTCGCCAATGGGGGGAGTACTAAGTGAAAGGTAAGTACGTGGCGGCGGAAGACGATTATTATCACCATTGCATGAATAAAGGAGGGCATCCATATGTGGGGTACTATCATTTGTTTTGCTACAGTGACGGGAGGTGTAGGAAGAAGGGGCATGAGAAACAATGTGTGCACATAGAGGCATGGCGTCCGCTCTCATGTGAAGACGTTGAGTAAATATGCTTTTCTCCGCACCGTCATCGCGCCGCCCTTGCCATCACTACTTTTGTATTGACTGGTCATCTGCAGCCATTCAGACTCGAGAGGTATAGGAAATAGGAGCGAGCTAGCGCGCGCGCCGAAGGCCGTCCCCTCGTCGTCGTCGTGTCGTCGGCCGGCCAGCCTCCCACCTACCACAGATCTCTCTGATCCGCTTAACGGAATCTACATTCCAAACCATGGCCTTGTCGAAGCCCCCTGAGCATTCCCCACGAAACCTATCTTCAGGGGAACAGGTGACTATATTGGAACATGTTACAGGGATAGCCAGTATACAAAAGGAGAAAAAGGGTTATCAGCCAAAATGACGGCTCAGCCGTTGGCTTCGCTGGGCCAAGGACCAAAGAAAGGATCGCTCGGAGGAAGGATGCAACATAATCGTCCCGATCGCATTGCCAAGAACGGCGCCCAGGGAGGGCGACCTCCTCCTCCTCTCAACCTTCCCAAAGGCCGGTGTCGGAGTCGGTGTTTGATTTGACAGAGGGGGATTCCCCTGCGGGCCAGCAGCTAGAAGAAAGAGTTCAAACGCCAGGCAGGGAGCCCGGCTCAGCCAGTGCTACCCACGGATAGTCGTCAGAGATCGTCTCAGCACACTCGAGCCTGAGGATTTCAGTCCGTACGAGCTACGATGAAGAGAGTTCACCGGAAAATGGTCTGGCGGGCCTGGTCGGCGGGGGCCACTTCTTCGACGAGCAAGCAATGCAGTTCGCAACGAACGGGCAGGATGGAGAAGAGTGCGACGGGCAGTCAGGGGAATAGAGCTTGCATGCAGTAGAGAAAGATGAGGAACGTGCTAACTTTCGCATGTCCCTTGGGCCCTCAAATCGTCCGCGCCCTCTCCAGAACTCGCCCGGCTGCCGCGCTCCAGGCGGCGGCCAATCGGACGCAGAGACGATCGATTACGAACCGACAGAAGCGCTCCGAAGAGCCGCCCTTGACTCTGGTGATGCGTCTGCAGTGGCCGTCTTTGATAGCTCTTCCGCGCGCGGAACTGCATCCGCCCCCCTTGCGCGGGAATCCCCTCGCGCCGACGGCTCGGCCGTGTCGGCCGGGGGCGCTCGAGAATTTCAGGGTGGAGAACCACTTGGTGACGCGAGGGCCCCCAGAGACGGCGCGCTGGGATGCGCAGGAGGGAGCTCCTCGGCTCAGCCGACGGCGCTCTCATCCGACGCCGCGCGCTCAGCTCGGCGCGCGAGGGGCCGACTGGCGTGGCTCCGCTGCCGAACCGAAGAGAAAGAATACCAAAAGCGAAATCGATGACCCGAGTCCTCCGCCGCTGATAAAAAAGGATTCTACCGCCGAAGCCTTAGGGCGGCAGTCGGGCCGCCAGCTGAAAGCCTCTTGCCGCCGAGAATGGACCGCGGCAGGGTGCCAGAACTCGATGAACTTCTCATTCAAGACGAGAAGTACGAAGAAGAAGGCAAGCTAAGAAGACATCGGAACGCGGGGTCAAGAGCGAGAGGGCAGAAAACGCCAACATCGAGCAGGGGTCGGGACAAGGCCCCGGGAGCAGGACGCTCTAGCCAAAGAAAATGTGACGCCCTTGCGTCCCCGTGCCCACCTTCGAATTGGACGATGAGTAGTTTCTCCAGTCGGAAGACCTGTTGGCACGCGAACTCGGATTGCCCGCCCCAGGCAGAGAACCGATGCCCGGGGGAAACGCGCGAGCCCGGGGTTTCTTGCGGTCGCCCCGCGTGTGCTCGGTTTTCTCAAGTATGCCCTAGATGTAGTGCATCGTTGCTCTGCAAGGAATGCGTCGCACTGGAAGAGCACAACTGCCGATGCATCGCTGCCAGAGAATTGGAAGGGGAACAGCGACAGGAACGAGAGCAGGTGAGGGCAGCAAGTGCGCAAATGCAGCAGATCCCCAGTCAGGCAGCCAGGCGCAGGTAGACGCAAGGGCCATTGGCGACGTCGACTGCCGGCTCGCCGAGTCCGAGGCGGAGAGGCTCGCCATGGCCCGCAAAAAGTGAGGCTGAGAAGGAAGCAATTGCGCGACATGCTGAGCCGGAGAAGGCTGCCATAGCAGAGGGCGCCCAGAGGCGTATAAACCTAGAAGAGGCGGAAGCGGCTGCACTCGCGAGCGCGGCTCAGCGGCGCCTCGCGCAGGAGGAACAAGAGAAACGAAGGGTTCAAGGAGCCGCCGAACACATGATCTCATTGTCGCAACGCCAGGCCGAAAAGAGCGCGTTGAATCGCAAATCCTCGCGGGCGCTGCCGGGCGGGAAGGATGATGATGATGAGATGACTACTTCATCGAGCTGTATCCTGAGCAGATGACAACAGTGCGAATGCGCATGCACGACGCACACACAGAAAGCAAAGTACACAAACAAATTAATTACATGCGTGAATTCGGCTCGACTTACTTTCGCTGGTATATACATGCACGTGGGAATGGGAGCCGCGCCGCAGCAATCAACTTGCCATGGCTTCACGAACACGGCCGGAGGTTCTAGCAAGAATCACCCGCAGGGCCCGGCTAGCATTACGGCCAGACGGAATGTGAATGTACAAAAATATGAATACGAGCACGAAACACACACTCACTCAATAAAAGCAAACAAGGAGGACCGGGGAGGAAACAGCAAGCAGCGCAAAACTTGAAGGATAGACGGGAGCATGGAGAGCAGTGCGCCACCACGCACGCGAACACACACGGAGCCCTCAAGCGGATGCTTAATCCGCACGTGGGTTATTGCAACGTGTCCATTTCTCTTGAGCAGCTGTCAACGCAACCCGGATGCAGGACAAGTACGGATGCTTAGAACAAACTTTGTCAACCGCACGCCGGAGAGCCTCCCAGGGATACTCGAGACATTTCAGCTCAAGCATGAGGCTCGCAATGTGTGGAATGGGATCAACGTTCAAGCAGCGGTCAACGCATTGAACAAGCAAGCCTTGCACGGAACCCACTTTTTCCGAGAGAGGCCTATTGCTGTGCCACGACTGGAACCGAGGGAACGGAGCACACACGACAGCAGCATGAAACAGATCACCGTTCTTGCTGTGGGGGGGACAAAGACACATGAGGAGCAGTGCCAACATTGAACCCAACAAAGACAGCAGGATCCTCGACCATCAGTTTCAAGCACTCATGTGCGCGTTTCTTACGGATCCGGCTATGGACCGCTTGGCTATAGATCCCCATAAGGCTTTCAATTAATTGGTCACTCAGAGCCCGGACATCCGGTGCAGACTGATGCGCCTGATGCCAGAAACATAGCGCACCGAATATGTCATCAACCCACCGGGCAATCATCACAGTGACAAATTGGATACCATCGCAAGGAACGTGGGGTGGCAATCGCATACGTTCGAACTCCAGAAAACAACGCGCCTATTGCACACGCCAGGGGACAAATTGCTACCTTGTGTCATACCCACAGTCGGCACAAGCAGTCCCTTCCCGAAGTGCAAGAACCCACTGTCTAAATCAGCGTTCACAATGGGGACAATGTCATCCACGCGCAGAACATAATCGTCAGCAGAGACGACGCGGCAATTGTTGGGCGACGGTTTAGGCATGTTAGCTCGTGCCAAATTACGGATGTGACCCTTGAAGGCGCGAGTGAAACAATGTGGGGACTCAGCGATGCCGAGGGGCGTACCTATAGAGCCGAGGGAGACGGATGAAACGACGACGAGAGCCATGGACTTCATACCAACGAGCAACCACCCAGGAC